AGTTGTATAATATTATTTATTAATTTTTATCTCCAAAATCTTGGTTACATTTTTCTTTGCACGCATATACCGTATGAAAGTTGACATATTATGCGAGATATGTAAAAACTAAATTCAACAGCTGATAATTTATCGTCTGAATTATTCCATATGAATTTAATTTTGTCTATAGCAAAATTAAATAATTAACATAATAAAATATTATAAGCAACTGTATTAATCGATACATTTCTTCATAACTAAATTTACAGCAAAAATCTTAGRTTGTGTATTAATATTGACGTATTGTTCTGTTAGTGATAGGTACAGTTTTATTTTATATAGCTGTATGGATATAATAAAATACAATGATASTTATTGGGAAGTAACTAGTCTTATATAAATAATTAAGACGGATAATGTGGGTAATATAATTTAGATTACAAATTTTGAGTTACTATAAAGATTTAAATGAAATCAACCTGTTGATTTTAATGGTGAATTATGGAAACTTTTGGTTGGGATAAACAATATATATATATATATTATGGTCTTAATTTTTTTTTTTTAGAGGTTTTTTCAATATTTCTATTTTGTATAAATCATGGATAATTTGTTATTATTCTTAACACTTATTTTTAGACTTTTACATTTTTTTAAGGATGTAAGTAGTTGATACATTACAGCAAAGTACCCCGATTATTTATTTTTCAGATTAAAATATTTAGCATAACATGATAGATTTGTTTTTGATGGGTAAACGTTCACGATTTTCTTCGTATAAAATGGTTCAATATTTTTTTGTTTTTTTTTTTTATTTAGAACTTTTAGTTTACAACTATTATAGTCCAACGATTGCAGATTAATACATGATGATATATATAGCTCAATAATAAAATAGTGAAAGATTTAAATATGACAATAAAAACAACAGAAGAACTACGAGTACAATGGTTCAAATATTATAATGCATTTAAATATCGTCAAGTAATTGGTTTTCCACTTCATATTACTGTGTATAATGAATATGGATCTTTTAATAGTGGGTAGTGGGTAATGTACTAAGGAAGCCAAATATTGATGTATTGAATTTACGTAGGTAGGTATACAGAAATAAATTGAGATAAGAGTGGTCGAGACYACAAAAGGATTTAATAAAAAAAATCCTCTCTTTGTTATTTTCTTACTTTTATATAATGCAAGTTTTTCCCAAACACTTGGCCCAAGACGATACAAACTTGACTATCAACCGAACCTTTTATCTTGTGCTTTTCCTGGAATTCGGGGTAAATATTGAATATTCACCACCAACGAAATTCGTGCAGACAAATACATTTCTCGACCCACTCAAAATCTAAAATGTCAATTGATATTATGTGTTCATATTGAATCGTTTATTTTATTGTGTAATAAACCTATATAAAAAAAAAACAAGCTACCTATTACATGTGCAAATGTATATTAGATATGGATTTGTCAAAATTATGCTAGTTATAAATAGCTTGCCCAGACTAAAGTCGAAATATTTTATTTATTTATTTTTAGAGTAATATTAATTTTGTAAAATGTGGATGTATTATGCATGTTTGCAGCTTATCGTTCAATTTTGATTTATCATGAATAACWWGTTATTCATGATAAATCTAGTATTGCAGGCTATTTAACATTTATAATTATATTTATACGTTTGCTTCGAAAGTACTTGATYTTTGGGTTTTATTTTGCATACAGGCATATGAAAAAAGGGACTAAATTAAAATACTGTATTACAATTATATGCATAYAAATTGTAATACGTATGTWACGTGCAGTTTATTCTTATTCTAATTACGTGCCAAATAATGTAACATTGTYCGGACACTTGAATAATCCGAAAAATTCTGTTTTATAACTTATTGAATTGCCCATGCGAAAAAAACTGATAGTCCCTCCTCGAATACAGTCAAATCTATCATTAACTTTATTATGTCTGTTAGTTTGTAGGACACTAAAGTACTTAGTAGGTACAGTACATTTAATAAGTTGAAAATTTAATTGTATGTAGACAAWTTTACTATAACTAATTACGTCTTTATTGCGAGTAGTTTCAAGTCCTTTTGAGTTTTGTTTAATATTTTTGAATAATAATTAAATYATTAAATCATTATTTTTCGTTTAAATATCTAAGYTGTCACTATTCGAACTAATTAAAAATTAARTAATATKCAATTTATTTAATTGTATAGYATAATATATTTTTAAGTAATATTATATTATTTTAAAGCTTTTTATGCATACAAAAATGTTATCATTTATGGAAATTAAAATCAAAATCGGGGGCGGAGTGTCCGAGTGGACTAAGGCGTCGGTTGCGACGCACGCTGTCGC